CAAGGCTAGCGCTCTATCACTTGAGCCACAGCGCCACTTCCGGCTTTTTTCTTTTTGCTTATGTGGTGCTGAGTAATCAAACCCAGGGCCTCAGGCATGCAAGGCAAGCGCCCTACAACTGAGCCACCTTCCCAGCCCACCCCCGGACCTCTTACCCTCCTCTGTGATTCTGTGATATCAGGATGGTATACTGTATCTACTTGTTTACTTGTCCCACTTCCCTTTGAGACCAGAAGCTAGTCCTTCATCCTTCTATGACTCTGCCTCAAATATACAAAATATAGTTGCTAAGTGAATGGATGAATGAATGAGAAAACAAACCAATATGGGACAAGGCAGGAAAGACTGAAGAGGGCAGGGCATCAGGTGTTTTTCACCCTTCTAGCCTTTTTCTCCCAAACCTACCTGCCTCATGAGCTCAGGGTTGTTGAGCATGTGGCTGATCTCAGGGTTCCTTTCCATCAGCTGCTGCATCTGAGGGTTAGCCATGATCATGTGGCGCATCAGGTCAGGGTTAGACATCATATCCTGGACCAACGGGTTCTCCATGATTTGTGACAACATCTCAGGGTTGGACATCAGCTGCCTCTGCATCTGTTGCTGCAGCTCCATGAAGTTGGCAGAGCCTAGGCCCAGGCTGCCCAGCCCCAGGATGCCCCCAAAGCCAGCTGTGGGGAGGGGGCAGGGTCACAGTCTACCCCAAGAGTCCTTCCCCCATCTAGTAGAGCCAGAATTTGGGTCTCCAAGATGGGCCCAAACTACTTTTCCCATCTCCCTTTCCAGTCACTCCCACAGCCCCAGGTCTGATCTGCTTCTGGCAAAAAGGTGAGCTCAAAGGATTGAGACCTCTTTGACAGCAGAGATTGAGCTAAGTACAGAGTCAAGCAGAGGTAAGGCAATCAGTAGTGGCCTGTTAAATGAGTAAATGAACACTCCACATCTGCATAATTTTGGGAGTCGCCTTTTCCCAGTTCACAGGCTCTTCCAATCGCCATGCCCAGAGCTCATACTTGGCTTATACTCCCCTCCTCTAGGAAATTCATGGACTCGTTTCCTTCCCAGCTTGGTCAAGCACTAAGGTCTGGAACCCTATGTCCAGGTGTCCCCAGTCACATAGAACTAGGAGTAGGACCATGTTTTTCCCTCCTTTTGGCTTTCCCCCACTCCCTAGCCCAACACAAAATTGTGTTCTCCTTTCCAAGGGCTTACAGAGAATAGATGCAGTAGCACTGGGGGGTCCCTCCCCAACCCCTGGGGAGGGACCCCCCCCACTGCTCCTCCGGCTTCCACTGCCAGCATCTGAAGCAGCACTGCCAGAAGTGGAGGGCTGGGCAGGGGTGGCAGGTGAAGCAGGTGTGGTAGAGGGTGCTGAGGCAGGGTCAGGAGTAGAAGGGGAAGAAGCAGTGGCAGCAGCTGGATCCTGAGCCCTGGGGAAAGAGAAAGGAGAATGAATCCTGGTTGGACTAAGTGCCAAAGAGGGAAGGTACCACAGCCATCTCTATGTGGGCTGTGCAGCTACTGCTAGCCCAAGCCACCTTCTGAGCAACCCTGATCCCAGTCACCTCGGGCTGAGGTGAGGCGATGCTGGTGGGTGGGCAGTCAGTAAACAGGGAGAGGGAGGAAGTCATTAATGTCATCTGTCTTCATCCAGGGCATCTCCTAGAGGAAGATGCAATTGTCTCTACCCAAGAGCCACCCACCTAGGCCTGGGCACAGGCCAGCTAGGTGTAGTGGAGGAAAGGCGAAGGAAGTATTGGACTGGGAAGTCCCAACCAGAAAACAAGGTGGGTTCCTCTCCTGAGCTTACTTCTGAGGGGTCTTGATGACCAGATGGACAGTGAGCCCGTCCTTGATCCCGTGCTGATTCAGTGTGTCTCCATCCTTGAGGATCTTGCCTGCGAAGATCAGGACCAGCTGATCCTGCTGAGCCTTAAACCTCCGTGAGATTTCCTCTTTGAACTGTGATCAAGAAGCAAAGAACATTATGGAGGCTGCCTAGACACCACCCACCAGGGACCCTGCCACTTCTTCAAGAATGTCTGCATTCTCTTGCTCTGACCTCTACTTGTGGGAAGTCCTTTCTGCAGTCTTAACTCCCTCCCTCTAGCTACAATAAATAGCTTCTTTCTTAATTTCTTTTTCTTTTCTTTCAGTTCTGGAAATAGAACGGAGGGTCTGAGTTGCTAGACAAGTCTCTACCATTTGAGCCACACCCCCAGCCCAGTAGGTCTCTTAATTCTCATTCAAGGAGACAGACCAACTAGTTCTCACAGCTCTATCCCAGAAGCTCCTAGCCTCACCTCTTGTGAGAATACTACTCAGGCAGCCCTCCCATTCCCAATCCTTTCAAATTGCCTTGAACCCAGGCAGAGTCTCGTTTCAGTCTTCTCTGGCTCCTAGTTTCCCCTTTTCTTCTTTATTCTTTGTGCCAGACCTGGGGCTTGAATTCAGGCCCTGGGTACTATCCATGAGCTTCGTTTTGCTCAAGGCTAACTAATGCTTTCTTTACCACTTGAGCCACAGTGAGACTTACTGGAGATGAGTTTAATGGACTTTCCTGAGATCCTTAGAGCTAGGCCTCCTGAGTAGCTAGGATTTCAGGAGTGAGTCACAAGCACCTGGCCTCACTTCTTTTTATTTCCAGCTTTCCCATAACAACTACCACAAATTCAGTAAGAGTCCTAACCATTCACAAGTTAGCAATTTACTGCATTATCTTCCTCATCTCATAAAGATTAGAAAACTGAGGACCAGAGAGTTTAGGTAATTTGTCTTGGGAAGACTGGAACTCGGGCCTTGATGCAAATGTCTAGGCTCTTAACCAAACACATGTCTCTCAATTAGAGCTGTTTTCAAAGTCAGCCTTGCAGAGAACACTATTTAAATTCTGAGATTTAGTAATCTGATATGGAAGTGAGGAAAAGAGATGGCACTAAGGGCTACTTTGGAGCTAGTAAGACTCTCCAAATTCTATTGCCCTCCGCCCCCCCCCCAACAACACCAAACACACCTTTGCAATATATATACAGTGCACTTGCTGAGCAAAAGCAGTTTTCAGGTCTCTGGCTTTCAACCAGACGGCCTATCTTAAGCCCCACCTATGTGAAATTCTGGAGCAGTGCAGGAAATAAATAGTTCCTCATGCAACGAAATTTTATTGAGCACCTACAGAACTATAAATCCCAGAAGAGAGCAGAGAACCAAATGTAACCACCTGCATTTGAGAGAGTGGGATGCCTCTGGGCAGAGGGGAAAGCGCCCTGGTCGCCCCAGCGCTCAGAGACGCCAGGGCTTCCTCCTGGAGACACACAGCGGGCGCTGAGAACTCCGCCCGCACCACCCCCCACCCAGGTTCAGCACCTCGCCCCAGTCCTACTCCGCCTCAACCCCCCCGCAATAAGTGGGACATAACTCCCCTCAAGCCCAGGGTCCTCCCCGGTCCCCACTCTCCACCACCACGCCCCCAGCTCTGGCCACACAGCCAAACCCGCCCCCCCACCCCCAGCACGCGCCGCGCTCCCCCATACCCACCCTCGCAGGGCGCCCCCTTCCCGCCTCTCTTTCCCTGCCATACTTTGGAGTGCCCGCCGGCCCCCACGCTCCAGTCGGGGACCTTGCCCGGGGCCAGGCCCTCACGGAGCGCCCCCCCTCCGCTGACCCCTCCTCCGCGCTCCTCCCTGACCACCCCCGCCAGCGAACCGTGCTACCTCCTTGACCGAGGCGCGATCGCAGATCACGATTTCCTCCTTGTCCTTGGGGGTCTTGACTGTGACCCGAATAGGGGGCCTCGTCTCGGCCCCGCTCGGCTCCGCCATGCCGCCGCCGCCACCCGGCCGCCCGCCAGCCCGCCCCGCTGCAGGTTGGCGATGGCCTCGTCGTAGCTCTCCATCTCCAGCTGGCACTGGCCCAGGAAGAAGTGCGCCTTCA